TCGGACTGGCACATGGACCGCGCGTGTGATCACTTCAAGCGCGCGCACCAAGGGCGCTTCAACATGCTGCGTGTGATCATGGTGGATAAGGATCTAAACGAGATCCACATTTTGCGCAGCCGCTTTCCCGAGGCCCAGATACTGATATGTGTGTTTCATGTGATCAAGTACCTGAAGGAGAAGCGGGCGAAACCGGAGTACCCCAAATTGTTGACACAAGACTCCTCTCAGATCGACGCGGCCATCCATAGTATGATTTACGCGCCCGGCAACGACGAGTACGAGCAACACAAGTCAGCCCTGCAAGGTTTCTGCTCCAGGATGGATATGGAGGCTTTCTACAATTACTTCGAGCGTAATTGGGACTCGTGCAAGGACATGTGGGTTCTGTGGCACCGCAACAAGCTTCCGCACTTCCGCGTACACACCAACAACCATCTGGAGAGTTGGTTTGGCAAGTTTAAGACCGGGGTCAAGAGCTCTACCAGGATGTCAGCGTGCATCGAGGCACTAGTGGAATTCGATATGCTGAAGGAGAACGAGTATCGCCACCAGCACGATAAGGTCGGTCGTTTTGTCAACTCGAACTACGACAAAGAGATGGCAATGGTGCTGCGTTTTACCACCCACCATGCAGCCAAAGCAGTGGAGCCTCAGTATGCCGCTGGTCTTCATAAGGCTGACACGTACAGGTTTGAACCGGACCCAGTCGAGCCAGGTGTCGTAACGGTGAGTGATGAGAAGCCCGTACACCAGATCCAGCTGCTCGACTGGACATGCAACTGTGAGTTTGCATTATCTATGCGACTACCATGCCGCCATGTCATTGCGTATCGCAAGTATACGGGTGTGAAGGAAAACGTCATTCCCTGGAATCGCATAGACGAGAGGTAAGTAATGAGACGGTAATGCGCATCTTTCATTGAACTGACCAGCGTGCCCATGTTTCATCCATGATTGATCCATGATTGTTGCAGATGGACGAGCACTTCAGCCGATCTCCCCCGAACTCGGCAGGTTGCATATCGCGTCAGCGGCGAAGAGAAAAAATCAAGTAAACGAGCTCTCCGTACACCTGGCCAGCGCTACAAGGAGGCACTACGGGCCACTCAGCGTATTGCATCCGAGTTGGCGGATATTGATGATGACGCTGAGTTCGACGAAATGCTCCAGTTCCTGCTTGGCCAGTGGAGCAACGTCCGACAGAGGAAGCGCGACAATAACAACTTGTCCTCACAAGACAACGAGGACAAGAGCTCTTCGCCCCGCAAATACAAAGACAATTTGCCCGATGGAGTTGTGTGCGAGGAGGTCGGTCCGAAAGCAATCAGTAGATATCCAGCCGCGGCAAACGTCACCTCGACCGCACTGGTGCCCTTCACTATTAGAATCAACCAGAAAGCACCCAAAACAGGCCGTCCCAAGAAAGACGAGAAGCAAGCTGTTGTAAAAGAACGAGTTGACGAGAAGTGGTACCAGGCAGGACAAGCAGGCCGGCGCCTCGCTGGCGAAGTGACGCTGTTGGACCTCGCAGCCGCGCTTGATCGAGATAAACCTGGACTTGAAGAAACTCGAAGGCGACTCTTTGGTGTGCTCGTCCGCTACCAGTCGTTCGCCGCAAAAAAGCCGACGTTCTCCAGGATCAAAAAACCTGTTTTGATCCAGGATCCGTTTTACATCCTGCCGGACAATCTCATGGAGTCGTGTTTCAAATTGCTGCCATTGCATAACTGTAAAAATACTGCAGTTGATTTGCGGACACCGCCTCCGGCAAATTCAAAGCAAGACGCCGTCGAAGTAATCCAGATCGCGCAGATCGGTGCGTTCAACCGCAAGCAAATTGAGACCTTCCGCCGCATCTCTCAGCTTAAGGCTCACGTGGAGCAAGGGCTGGGATTGTGCAGATGGCTCCTGAACGACGCTCTCTCGGCGATGCATGCAGCGTATCACGACACGATGCGTTATGCCGCACGTGTGCAAACGTTATCCAGACGATTGGCTCCCGGGTCTGCCGAAACGGTCGGAAAACCGGTGCATGTCAGTTTACACGGCCGTCCCGCCATTTTGGATGACCGATGCTGCTATTCGTGCCTTGTGTTCTCGACTGGAAATGGACTTTTCGACGTGCCGCTTTGCCGGAGACCAGAAGGCCACCGAAACCAAGCGGCGCACACGAGCGCAGCCCAGCCAAGCTGTCAGTCCTGAGGTCGCGACTAGACTCCGTGAGCTGTGTAGTATGGACGAGGTGGACACGATTCTAATCTCGGTTAATTACGAGAACGAGCATTGGTGCGGAATCGTGGTGAAGCGGAGTGCCAAGCGGATCCTGTTTTACGACCCGCTCAACACTAAGGCGTACATACGCGCGTGCGAAGAGATTGTGTCGAGCATCTGCATTCAAGTCGAGGCTCTAAGAGACTTTGATAAGTATCACATGCAGAGCCCAATCCAATTTGATCTACACAGCTGCGGCGCGTTTGTGTGCTGGTTTTTATGCGGAACGCCACGCCAGGACTCCCGACTGATATGAGCACCCATGGCCTCGTTGCGCGCCGGTTTGAGTTGATGTACTATATTCTCACCGGGCGATTGCTTCCGCTGCAACCACAAGTAGCTGCACCTGTCCTAGACCAAGATGACGACGACAAATCTCTGCCGATAACACAGACCGCTACGGTTTAGAGCAGAGATGTGGGATGTTTGACGTGGCGGACGTTTTCAGGTACGAGGTAGCGCAAGTGGAGCGTGTTGCGTGCACCATAAAGCGGTCAGCTGGTGCGTGTGTGCGAAGCACCTGCTCCTTGGGGTAATTAATTGCTAATACACGTCATCGCTTTAACTTGACTCATTATCTCTTTCTGCCATCTTTCTGCATCGACGTGAGTATGCGTGTTGCTCATCAGTACCTTGTCGAAATCTTTTCAAGCAGTCATGGACTATCCACGTCAAATTATAGACGATCATAGACTTTTGTACATGTGCTGCGTTTCGGGCTCTATAAAAATATGAGCTCGAGGACGCCGAAGATACAAAGATACTTTCAAATCTTGCGTAAATAAAGTATCCGATTTGATGGGTTTTCTGAATCCTGGCCAAAACATGGGATGAATCCTGTATCAATATTTAGGGTTCCATGATTTTGAACATGGGCAGTATCACCGTCCTTGAAGAATCAACCC